GGTGAATAAAAGGTGGTTACCAACACTTACTCTTGGGGAAGTTACTTAACCTCTTTGTGCCTCATTTGTGGAATGGGATGCTAGAAGTCCACCTGGCATAAAGGCTGTTGTGTAAGGATGAGATGATATGCATACAGGGTGCTTCACATAATACTAAGTCCTCCTTGAGGATTAGCTGCTATTGATTATTTTATCATTATTGTAAAGATTTCAGCTACCGTTGAGAATTTACAGGTTGTCCTTTCTTTATGGAGTTTTTCATCATGCATGTTGGTTATATCAAAACACACAAACAAGGATGGTATTCAAATAGTACTTGCAAAATGTGATCAGTGCTTTCAGGAAGGTAAGGAGTTGGCCTGGCACATCATAAATATTTATTAGAGTTTGTTGACTTAAAAAAAGAAAGCCGGAAAAGTCTTTTGACTTCTAAAACCTTGAACTGTTCCCTTGCAGTTCTTCTTTTTTGGCATGGAGAAGTAATTATCTGCAAACTTCTTCCTTTGCCAGAGCAGCTCTTTCACAAAATAAGGCTTACCTAAATCCTATTTTTTTTTTTCTTTTTCGAGACGGAGTTTCATTCTTGTTGCTCAGTCTAGAGTACAGTGGTGCAATCTCAGCTCACTGCAACCACCGCCTCCCAGGTTCAGGTGATTCTCCTGCCTCAGCCTCCCAAGTAGCTGGGATGACAGGTGTGCACCACCACGCCTGGCTAATTTTTGTGTTTTTGGTAGAGACGGGGTTTTGCCATGTTGGCCAGGCTGGTCTCAAACTCCTGACCTCAGGTGATTCGCCCACCTCAGCCTCCCAAAGTGCTGGAATTACAGGTGTGAGCCACAGTGCCCAGCCTAAATTCTTAAGCCTTATACCAAATATACGAGAAAATCCAGGAGCTGAAGTGGGACTGGGTGTCCTGTGGATCCAGTTGCATATTCACCCTGCTCCACCTGTGGTTCAAATGCTTACCAGGTTACAGCAGAGAAACTGGGCTTATGCATGTTGGTAGCAGGTATTAGTAATATGAAATCAGGATCCAGTTTTATTTACAACCTTACATATCCATGAATTGGCTATAATTACATGTAAAATCAGCATAGCCAAGGACAAAGTACTATGATAGTTAGCTCTTCTCTTCCTTTTCTTTATCTGTCTGTTCTCTTCTTCCTTGGCTGTTCACCAGGTTGGTGGAAGAGGGAGGGAATCCCCAGCACTGGCCACTGACTGTGTGCTGTCCTTTTTTTTGTCTTGAGATGGAGTCTCTGTTGCCTAGGCTGGAATGCAGTGGCACAATCTTGGCTCACTGCAACCTCTGCCTCTTGGGTTTCAGTGATTCTCCTGCCTCAGCTTCCTGTGTAGCTGGGACTACAGGTGTGTGCTATTACACCCAGCTAATTTTTGTATTTTTTTTTAGTACAGACGGGGTTTCACCATGGTGTCCAGGCTGGTCTCGAACTCCTGACCTCGTGAACTGCCCGTCTCAGCCTTCCAAAGTGCTGGGATTACAGGCGTGAGCCACGGCGCTCGGCCTGTGTGTCCTACTTTCTGCTTGTCCTTAGCATCACTCAGGCACACTCTTTCCCACTACCCTACTTTACCCAACTGCTACACACCTGTCCACATACATGCTGTATAGATTGTTTCCTGGATGATCCTTTGACCTCTTACTAACAACAACCCTTATATAGCAAGGGTGCTGTGCAGATGGTCCATGCATCAATTTATTCTCATTCCGTCTCCCTCCTCCCCATCTCCTTATGCTCTGTTCTCTCCATAGATTAAAATAAAATATAAAACAAAGAGGCAGAGTGTTCCTAATTGGATTGTTTTCCAGATTTACAGAGTCCCTGGGAATATGCTGAATTCATACGCACAGTATTGTTTTTATCAGGATTCTAAGAAGTGGCAAAGTTAAGTCAGCACCTCAAGGTGGAGAAGTCCCCAGAATGTTTGGTGGAAAAGCCGTGAGCTAGGGTAGAAAGACCTGGGCTCTCACCTAGCATTGCTGTTCACCCAGGCAAGTGACTTAGCCATGCTGGTCCTTAATTTTCTGGTCAGCAAAACACGAGAATTGGGATTAAGGCCTCTTCTAGCATCAACTGTGTGGGTTTCCGTCCTTTGGTTACTCATCGACAAAACATCATCATCAAGTTTTACTGTTTCTGAAACTGATGTTCTTTGTTTCAATCTGTAACTAGTATCTGCTGATTTTAAAATGTACCTTCATTGTTTTTATTACAAAGCGTATTATACTTCCTACTGATACATGTCTCATTAGTTGTACCCAGTGACTCCTCTTTCTCTTCCTTATTCTTTTCTGTCTCATCTCATTCTTCATAGTTAAGTGTTGATGGTTGGTAGCTAGTGCCTTAGACTTTTCTAGGCTGGAAATATATGCATATGTAAATAAGAAATTCTTTTGACTATAAAGGGATTGTATTATACATATGGTTCTGAAGCTTGTGTTTTTACTGATTAGCAGATGATAGAGACAAACATTAGGAAACAATATTCAGTGAGACATCAGTCTCCCTTATACCCTTAATCGCTAGTTGTCTTTCCTTAGAGGCAATGTATATCAGAAATGTTCTGTGTATATATACACACATATACAGATACGATTTTTTTTTTTTAACAGTGGGAGCATACTGTTCACTGTTTAGCTCCTTGCTGCTGCTGTTGTTTTTCCTCTTTTGGTTTAATGTTATATTTTGTAGATTACTCCACGTCAAATAATTCATGTAAACTTAGTAAGTGCTCAAAAATGTTAATTATCATTATCAGCCCCCTAAGCAGCTTTCCTATTCTTGGTTTAAGGCTACAAAACATTCCATTGTACAGATACACTAGTTAGTTACTGATATTTCCAGTGTGGCTATTATAAATAATAGTTCAGTGGACATCCTTGCTTCTAAGTCCTTGTATGACTGTATCTGCAGGAGACATGTCTGTTGAAAGACTGTACCTTTTACATTTTGTTAGGCATTTAGAAGGCAGTTTAGCAGTTGGTTGAACATGTTTGCATTACTATCAAGAATGTATGAGGCGGCCGCGTGTGGTGGCTCCCGCCTGTAATCCCAGCACTTTGGGAGGCCGCGGTGGGTGGATCACTTGAGGTCAGGAGTTTGAGACCAGCCTGGACAATATGGGGAAATTCCATCTCTACTGAAAATACAAAAATTAGCTGGGCGTAGTGGCGTGCGCACGTAATCCCAGCTACTTGGGAGGCTGAGGCAGAAGAATCGCTTAAACTCCAGAGCTGGAGGTTGTGGTGAGCCAAGATCATGCCACTGCACTCCAGACTGGGTGACAGGGAGACACTGTCTCAAAAAAAAAAAAAAAAAATGAAAAAAGAAAAAAAGAATGTATGAGGTCAGGTGAAGTGGCTCATGCCTGTAATCCCAGCACTTTGGGAGGCTGAGGCGAGCGGATCATGAGGTCAAAAGATCGAGACCATCCTGACAAACATGGTGAAACCCCGTCTGTACTAAAAATACAAAAATTAGCTGGGCATGGTAGTGGGAGCCTGTAGTCCCAGCTACTCGGGAGGCTGAGACAGGAGAATCGCTTCAACCCTGGAGGCGGAGGTTGCAGTGAGCTGACATCACGCCACTGCACCACTCCAACCTGGAGACAGAGTGAGAATCCATCTCCAAAAAAAAAAAAAAAGTAAATACTTTTGTACTTTTGTAGTTTGCATCAAGAAAGCTAGTATGTAAAACTTTGTACTTAGTCCAAGGGAAGCGGTGCCGGTTATTGACAGACGCCACTTCCCTTTTTGCTTCATGCGCGCCTCTGCGCATGCACCGCACTCTCGTCCTCCTATTGGTGAATTGTAGGCTTCTTTGCAAAGACTACATTTCCCAGAAGGATGGTTTTTGGTTTTAACCACCGCTTATGAATTGTTGTGGAAAAGATGTTAGAGGTTATCTAGTGTTACATATAAAGAGAGAGAGATCCAAAAAGGTGAAATAACTGGTTCAAGAGCATAGATAATGGTAAGAATAGGGCTACAACTCTGCCTTTGGGGCTCCTGGTCTAGCATGTTTGCTAGAATCACACATTAAAATTACTCTCTTTATAATTTTCTTTACAGATCATGCAATGTATTTAAATAGTGAACTGATGGTAACAATTTATAGAGCAAATCTGTTGCATAAAGTAGCACTTTATAAATATTCTAGGTGTGTTAATAGATATTAACATGGAAGAAAGAGAACAATATAGAGAACTTCTCTCCCCCAGCACCCCCACTTTTTTAAACAGAGCATCTTAGGGTATTAATATGTAGGAAAACGCCCTGGAACACTGACATGTATAACTCAAAACCTAAGGAATCACTGAGCCAGGTTGCACCACTGGCAGGAAAAGTCATTTAAATTTGGTCACTGGGGCTGGGCATGGTGACTCACGCCTGTAATCCCAGCACTTTGGGAGGCCAAGGCAGGCAGATCACCTGAGGTCATGAGTTCAAGACCAGCCTGGCCAACACAGCAAAACCCTGTCTCTAATAAAAATACAAAATACAAAACTTAGCTGGGTGTGGTGTTGCATGTCTGTAAGCCCAGCTGTTCGGGAGGCTGAGGCAGGAGAACTGCTCGAACCCGGGAGGCAGAGGTTGCAGTGGGCCGAGATCGCATCATTGCATTCCAGCCTGGGTGACAGAGCGAGACTCTGTCTCAAAAATAAATAAATAAGGTTGGTCACGGGGGGCAAAGTAATATTTACCTGGTATATTTCTCAGTGAAAGAACTTGTGTCGTGATCCATGTCCGTGTTTGTAAGTCCCTCTGTGACGGTCCTGCCAAGGTCCTTTACCTGATGACCTGATGAAGGTGAAGGTCAGAGTAGGAAAAGCACAGGAGTGGAATGGTGAGCATCCCCTCTGGGTTGTAGTGAGTACAGTCTGTAAAAGCCACAACTGACTTGAAGAGCTAACTTAATAATGTAATAGTTAAAACGAGGTCATTTATTCACCATTGGACCTTAACAAGATGTCTGCAGAACACAGCTTGAAGGGGACCGAAGACAGAACCTCTTGGATGATCTTGTAACTCGAGAGCGACTACTTCTGGCATCCTTTAAGAATGAGGGTGCCGAACCAGATCTAATCAGGTAGGATGTTTTCATTTACAGGGATTACTTGGTGGGCGAAGACTTCTTTGCAAATATTACAGCTGTTTCCTGAATGGCTTACTTTAGGCATTAAATCAATCAAAATCTATTCTATTCATTTATAGGGTTGGACTGTAATTTTCTACTCAGTTTTCGTTAATTTTCTAGGTTTAGGAAACCAGGTATGTTCAGCTGAATCCCATCTTGGGTGGAACATACTAAGGGAGACTGTGGGTGAAGTCAGAACATTTCTTTGGCATTCTTTGGTTGAGTTTTCTGCTTTGTTAACTGCCTTCTAAACTCCCGAAGTCACTTCTTCTCTGTGTGGGCAAAGGAGTGTTTTGGTTTTGGTTTTTGTTTTTTTTTAAATCGGCATATTGAAAAAATGAGTCCTAATAAGACTGGTCAGGCACCCACAGAGGTAGAGGAGTTGGACCCTCCTCCCCGTTCTTCACCAGTGAGTGATTCACACTTCAAAGAGCCGACAGCTGCTCTGAGCCCGGCTCTTCTGGAAGACCCCGTGGACGGGTCCGGCTTTCCAAGGCTGAGGCTGATGAACCGTAAATTGCTACATCTTTAAAATTAGCCTCCCCGTGTTTCTAGAACTTCCTGAGCTTCATCATGGGAACCATCACAGAAGGCAATGAGCTTGGGTGGAGAGCCGCCTCTCCTCGTCTTCCACGCTAGGGACGATGCATGTATCGTGGAGAGGAGCTTGTTTCTAGTTAGTTCCCAGTTAGGAATAGTATGGCTTCCCAAGGGCAGTGGTTTTGGACCCGAGCCATGCATTATCAGACTCCACCTCAGACAAGTGAACCCGAGTGGGATTGAGGTGGAGGGGCAGGGGGCAGGGGAGTCTCAGGTGATTCTAATATACAACCCGGATTGCAAACCACTGCCTAGAACAAGCTGAAGAAAATGAAACTGTTTTTCCTGTGGATCCCAGCCTTCTCAGGAGCAGTTTCCAAGGTTCTGTGAAGAAACTGTGAAATACGGAAAGGTAGATGGGATGTTAAGTTGCTTCTGTGAAGAAATGAACCTAACGAGTCAGTGAGGGAAGGGTGATACTCTTTTGGCAGTCTCCTGGGCGGGGTTTAAATGAAGACAAGCCTGTGGTGGGCCAGTCTACTGTGGTTCCCCCATATTTCCTTGGCATATTCAGTCCCAGGGTACAGGGGTGAAGTATGTGGATGAAGGTGGTGTTCCAGGTTGGTCAAAGAGAACAGGTGAGCAAAGGAATCCAAGGTGGAAAGAGAGTACTGTCGTCTGGGTGCAGTGGCTCACGCCTGTAAGCCTAGCACTTTGGGAGGCCGAGGTGGGTGGATTGCCTGAGCTCAGGAGTTTGAGACCAGCCTGGGCAACATGGTGAAACACCGTCACTACTGAAATACAAAAAAAAAAACCAACAAAGTAGCCGGGCGCGGTGGCGGGCACCTGTAGTCCCAGCTACTCAGGAGGCTGAGGCAGGAAAATTGCTTGAACCTGGGAGGTGGAGGTTGCACTGAGCCAAGATTGCGCCACTGCACTCCAGCCTGGGACAGAGCAAGACTCTGTCTCAAAAAAAGAAAAAGAAAAAGAACTGTCTTTCAGAAGGGGCTTTACACTGAAGACAGAGTCTTTTTAGTCAAGATATTAATAAGGGCATAGTTAGGACGGGGAGCTTATTTCATGGAGGAATGGGGTCATGTAGAGAGATGATGAAGGGGGCAAAATATGCAGACTGTTCTGCTCAGTAGTGATGAGGCAGTCGTGATAGTCAGTTCCCATTTGAGAAGAGCGTGCTTTGCACCAGACTCTGCTCTTTGCTTGTCATTAATGATGCTGAAGGAACCAACCTAGGAATTTAGGCCAAGGACCTCTGAAGTCCTCCCATCAGGTCCTTCTGTTTTCTATTTTGTTGGTTTTTGGTCCCCACTTGCCTGCCTTTATCACCCCTCTGATCATCTCTGTGTCCTTTAAACTGTGACCGGCTGATAAGCAGCATCAGCATTACCTGGCAGCGTGTTGCAAACTCAGAATTTCCAACCCCAGTCCCAAAGTACGGAATTAAAACTTGGATTTTAACAAGATCATCAAGTGATTTGAATGCACATTATAATTTGAGAAATATTGCTTTGTATCATTCCTTTTTTTTTTTTTTTTTTTTTTTTTTTTTTTGAGACGGAGTTTTGCTCTATCACGCAGGCTGGAGTGCAGTGGCACAATTTCAGCTCACTGCAACCTCCGCCTCCCGAGTTCAAGTGATTCTCCTGCCTCAGGCTCCCGAGTAGCTGGGATCACAGGCGCACGCCACCACGCCTGGCTAATTTTGTATTTCTGGTAGAGATGAGGTTTTACCATGTTGGCCAGGCTGGTCTTGAATATCTGACCTCAGGTGCTCTGCCCGCCTCAGTCTCCCAAAATTCTGGGATTACAGGCATGAGCCACTGTTCCCGACCTGTGTCATTTGTTCTTAATCGTGGCAGTTTGCATCAGAATCCCCCAAGAGAATGGAAAAAAAAAAAAAAAAAGAAATACAAATGTCTAGACCATATACTTGCGGTGTTTGATTCATAGTCTTTAGTGAGACCTGGGCAGCAGTAAGCCTGGGGAGACTGCTGGGTGGATTTAGTAGATGGCAGGGTTAGAACGACTGCTCTATGTCATGATGTACTAGTCATGAGACTTATAGCATGTGTCTGCTATTTGTTTTTTATATGGTAGGCACTATGCTAAGCTCTTTATGTACATTTGCTCAGGAGCGTTTTATAATATCCCATTTTGCAGAAGAGAAACTGAGGCTCGGAGGGTTCAAGATTCTAAAGCTAGTCAGTCACAGAACTTAGATTTTAGCTCTGAACTCGTAACCACTGCACCCTAGAGAGAGCTGGATGAGGTGTTAGAAGGACCCAGTTCTGTAGCTTTCTAGTCCCTCAGTCATCTGGGCTTCCAAGTCATTGACCTTAGACTGCGGGTACATGTGCTGCCCATTTTTCATTGTTGTTAGGACCAGGTGAAGTGATTACTATGAGATGGGCTTTGTAAACTCTAAGACCTTTATAAATACAAGATGTTATTACTGGAGCATTGTGTCTCCATCCGGCTGGGAGGGAGCTCATGCTGCCTCATTGCTTTGGAGATCTTCTGTCCCTGGTGTCATGCCCCTTGAGTGCTCTACAGGGACCTGGTCTGTGTGACCCCAGCATATGCTGCACCTGGTCCTCTGCCCTCCATTCTTCCACATCTCATTTGTTCCATGTCTGCTTGCCTCCGTGCCCAGCTTGCTGCCTATTGTCTTATTAGCGAACAATCTCGTTAATTCTAGCAGTGGAATCAGCGGCTGGCAATGTCCTGTCTTCTGGAGGTATTTTAACCAAAACCTCCTTAAACCCTAGGATTTAAACCACAGTGAATTAGTTGATAGGAATGTTTAGGGAATTTGGCAGGTTATTGTCAGGTGGTGGTTTTGGATAGAGGCCTTCTGAGGAAGACCTCTGGGTCCTGCCACTGGGACTGCCTTCTGCTCTTCATGCCTGTAAGGCTGATCCATGTGGTGGACTAAAGCTGTTGCTTGTTGGTGTGTTGGTGAGTGGCTGAGTGGCATGGGGACAGAGATCATACTGGGGAGACACTGTCAAGCAAAGGTAACTGAATCCCTGAGGGGTGAAATAAAGTAACTGGCCAGACCTATTTACATGCTGTCAAGATGAAACCAAGGGCAACATAGAGATTAGTGTATCTTTTCAGGACCAGAAGTCTAGGATAGATCAGAATAAGCTTCTAGAAGAATTCTTTTTAAAAGGAATGCAAGTCCTGTCAAGGAGAAATGACTCCTGTGGAGTGATTTGAAGAAGGTAGACATGGACATGACACACAGCGATGGTCCGTTCCGGATGACGTGGAATCTGGCCAACAGCGGGAAACCAATGTGGCAAGTGGACATTGAGCGCCATGAAGAAAGAAAGTCATTGCAGATACAGAGAGGAAGGAGAGTGATGTCGGTGGCCTGGAAGGTGAATTTCCCCTTCACTTCCATTGACGAATCCTTGTTGGGCTAGGATTGCTTTAGACCCAACACCCTAACGGGAACGTGTCCACATACGCTTGTCCAAAAAGTACAAATCCTGTGGACATTCCAGAGAAATCTGATCAATAAGAAAATTCATACTAGAAAAAACCACTCTCAAAAGCTATGTAGAAAAGTCCCCGGGAAATCTGCTCAAGGGCCATGAGAACAAATACCCAGCTAGCGTTCTCCAGCTGGTCAGGGAAGATGGCACCATGTGGTCTTATTGAGGACCAGCAAGAAGTGTGTGGTTGAGTGAATGCTAAAGCCTAAGTGGACTGCCAGAAGTGGATTTTCTTAGATTTGAGGTCAGAGTTGCTGGTCTTTGATTTCCTTCACCTGCCTATGTGAGAGTATTATTTTTGCCTTCTTTACCCCTAATCCCCATCCTTGAGACCTCCCCTTCTTTCCCCAACTTCTCATACCTAATAGTTCTGTTGCTTGGACCTAGCCTTCTGAGGACCTTAATTCAATTGTAAACGTGACTTGTTCATTATATGATATGTTCAATTACAGTTCGATTGTATCCCCGTCCCCCCGATTGTCAGTTGCCTGGTCATTTCTAACACCAGCTGTTAGGGAACGCTCAGCTCTATCTATCTTTGGAGAAACTCATTCGTTTCTCTGCCAGTTGGTTTCTGTAGTATTTCCAGTGACTTACAGAGATTTCCTCAGACCTCACCACAGTTAATTCCCAGTTCTGGGTTCCTCCAAGATTTTCATGTGCTTCTCTAATCCCTGTATTCCTCCAGCATTTTTCTTTGCTTCTGTAGTTCTTGGTTTTTGTGGGGGTCAGTTGGGTTGCTTTGTCACTTTGTGGGTGGAGGGTAGGTGTCTTTCCCTTAATTCATGACGCCCAGAAGCACAGTGGCCAGAAAGCCTTGTCAGAACTTTGAAATGTTATAGACATGCTCATTATGGCACATTTTGTCATTAATGCTAGACCATGACCACA